CATTAACTGTGAGACTCTGAACATGTTGAAAAATGTCATTTTTCAAACTTTAGGACATATTGCTATGGTAACCATGACACATAGCAACCAATTTTTGCCTGATTTGAGTTTACAGTATCAAAGACTTTTATCATAGAGAGTTTGGAGAAATTCTGAAACTATGCGTGCCACAGCTCCTATATAAAACTTTAAGTCATTACAGAGAATGGCTCTTAATTATCAAAGGTGAATGGAAAAGGGGAATAACTTCTCTCAGTAGAATACAAATTAATAGAGCCCTGCCCAGGACCAGAATGCTTAGACAAATGGTCCAGATGTTCAAAAATCTGGTAGAAATACGCTTACTTATATCATTTAAACTTTTACTCAGTTTGCTTCCGATATGCTCAGAAGCAGAGAAGAATTTCACAGGTACAATGCATTTTCACTACAGATTCAACAAAGCCTTACCCTAACACCAGAACCCAAGACCAAGGGTCAAGAAATTTACAAATTTGGAAGAGTTACCCTCATCATCATAACTATGGACTTCAAAGAATTAACACTTTTCCACTATATTATCACCCCCCCCCCCCCGTTATGCCAGAACCCCTGACCCTAGGACCACAAGATTTAAAAATTCTGTTCGAAGCTCCAATTTTCATTATAGCTACATGTAAGCAATTTATTTATCAGCTCAACATTTAGGAACAGACATTATTAATTAATGATTAATTAATAGAATTGATGCTTTTTCACTATATAATCAATAGAGACCCCCCCTCCTCAAGAACCCCCAAAACTGAAACCATATTTTTAAAAATTTTGGAAGAAGCATCCATGCCTATCATAATCATGCACTAAGTTTGTTTAAATAATCTCCAGTAGCAGAGAAAAAGAGTTTCAAAGAATCAATGCATTTTCACTATATAATCAAGAGCCCCGCCATAAAAACAGAACCCCTGACCCTGGGGCCATGAATTTCACAATTTTGGAAGAGGCACTCTTGCTCATCATAACTATGTACTTAGTTACTTTATTTAATACCCAGGAGCAGAGAAGGAGATTTTCAAAGAATCAAAGCATTTTCACTATGTAATCAATAGAGCCCCGCCCTTACACCAGAACCCATCACCCTGGGGCCATGAATTTCATAATTTTGGAAGAGGCACTCTTGCTCATCATAACTATGTACTTAGTTACTTTATTTAATACCCAGGAGCAGAGAAGAAGATTTTCAAAGAATCAAAACATTTTCACTATGTAATCAATAGAGCCCCGCCCTTACACCAGAACCCCTGACCCTGGGGCCATGAATTTCATAATTTTGGAAGAGGCACTCTTGCTCTTCATAACTATATACTTAGTTACGTTATTAAATACCCAGGAGCAGAGAATAAGATTTTCAAAGAAATGATGCACTTTCCCTATATGATCTATATAGCCCCACCCTGGGGCCAGAACCCCTGACCCTGGGGCCACGAATTTCACAATTTTGGTAGAGGGCTCAATGCTTATTACAATGATGCTAACAGTTTGACTGCTTGATGTCCAGGAGTAAAGAAGAAGATTGCATTATTTTTGGTGGTTTTAGCCCATCCTCAGGCCCCAGGGGGACAGGGACCATGAAATTCACAATTTTTGTTCCCCTTCACCCATAGATGCTATATGCCAGATTTGGTTGAAATTGGTTAAGCGGTTTCAGAGAAGCTAAAAATGTTCAAATATTAACACACGACGCACGCCGACGGACGAGAACGGATAGCAATAGGTCACCTGAGTGACTCAGGTGACCTAAAAATCAGGCAAAATGGGTATAAAAGTGAATCATGAGTGTTCTCAGAATTGGATGATTTTCCATGTATAGATTTATTTTGCACTTTGAACCATGAATGTAAAATGAAAAACAAATTGGGTTATGGTTACTATGGAAACCCGGCTAAAGAAATTTCCCTAGCAACCAGCCAATTTTCCATGTGGATGGACAAAAAAATCACTTATATTTAAGGCTTGAAATTGAACGTGAATATTACAAGAATTCTTTTTAATGAATGCTATCGTAAAAATAAACATTTAAAGTGTTTTAACAATGCAAAACATAGAAATTAGATTTTAAGATATCTCCCGCATAGGCAGTGTAAGATATGCATGTTTTGCATTTTTTGCTGATTCAGCATTTTTGTAAATTTCAGCACTAATCAAGCCCACATTTTTCAAACTTCTGACACAATACATAAGTTTCGTATATTTCACATAAAGGCAGAGGAACGTCACTTTTGGCATTTAAATTCAAAAAGGTGTGTTTTTTGATATATCCAATCCTAGCCTATGCAATCTTCAACAGAGATATCTTCCCTTTCAAAGGGAATAACACTTCTTAAAACTGGGCAATATTTCAAAATGTGAGTTCGAGCAAAACCCTTCACATGTGGGGCGAGCAAAACCGTTCACACTTGGCCTGGATATAACTGTGATAAATGGATGACCCCATTTAAGGCGTAGGCTATACATAAAAAAGCAATAGATGCCTTGATCAAGTATTGTATATTCCCCAAATTCTTGCATAAGTGGTATATCTTATTTAACATACAACAAAAATGAGATGGTTTATGCTTTTTTTGTAAAAAAAATGAACTTTTCATGAGATTTTGTTGGAAGGGTTTTATTTAATTTTTAATTGTTCATAATGTGCACTTTCTAACATATATAATCAGAATTTCTGAACTTGTGGGATTTTTTTTTATAATATTCTGTTAAAATGTGCAAGATTTTTAGAAAAAATGTAAAAGGCGAATTTCATGAAACACAGCAAAATGAACTAAAATTAAACACTTTTTAGAAATGATGAACAATTTTATCAGTAAGGTAATAATTGAATATTTTTTATTTTACTTTCTGGGGAAAAGATTCACTTGTGTTATTTTCATCGAAGAAGCACAGTTCCTTCATTAAATTATAGCTAAATTGACAAGTTTTGCTATTTGTTGCTTGCAAGCCTTTTACTATAACATGGCGTCTGGTTTCCATGGCAACAAAGGTTGGCCAATAAAATCATAGCATCCAATGATGTTCCCTTGGTCCATAAAGCAACATATCAAAATTTCAAACAAAAAGTCCGAGATGGTCATGAATCACTTTATTCCAGAATTTATTTTTAGTGCAGTCCAAAATACATGTAAATTGAAATATCAACTCCAAAAACGAGAATTAATTGCAGATGTTTGTAAAAGTTTAAAGTTAGGCCCTTGGTGGTTTGTCGATATGTTTGGGCATCTACTGTGTAAGTTGTTTTTTTTTTTAAATTTATATAGATAATTTGATATACATACGATTTCTCATTTTACATGAAGCTTTTATTATTCTATAATTGTGAAATTTGAACTTTTAGTGCATTTGCACTCAAGATTGTTTACATGAAGTGAAAGCCTTAATAATGTATATATTAATTAAGCATAATAACTTAATTGCATTTATTTATACTTTATTTATGCCCATCGAATAATATAGAATTTAATTCCAATAAAACAAGTACATGTACATGTAAATCTTATACGGTACCAATTTTGGTGCACCAGATGGGCAAACCGATAAATTATGTCTCTCCAGTGATTCTCATGTCATTTGAGTTTTTATATGTATATGAAAGTAGGTTGCTTTGTTTTTAATTGGCTGTGTTGTTTGTTGCAGCCTTTTGGGATGTAATTCTCCCAGAACATGCAGAATAAACTGTTAAATATACCATGTCTTCGACGACCACTTTCTTCGGAGGCAGAAAATTAAGTTCACAAATACATATCAGTTGACTAGGATTGGGTGGAACACAGAGTGTATCAAGGCTAGTTGGAATTTCATTTTTTTTTGGGGGGGGGGCTGCATTTTCTTTACAAGGAAAAAAAGTCATCTGACTTTCTTGAGGGGAGTAAGACCGTAAATTAGCTTAGATTTCTAATGTATAGTTTATACCGTCAAAAATATATATTGAGGGGGCACACCTGTAAATTACTCTAATTTTCTATAGTAAAGTACATGTATATACTGGCAAAGTTATTGGGAATGTGTCCCCTCCCTGGCAGGCTTGGCATCATATGTAAGGATCCCCTCCCTGGCAGGCTTGGCATCATATGTAAGGATAATGGACTTTTGAGCTTGAATACTGTTCGTTATCTCCATTTATTTCATGCAATCTTCAACAGAGATGTCTTTCCTTTCAAAGAGAACAACACTTCCCAAAACTGGACAATATTTCATAATGAGTCGCCTGCGTGGCGCAAGAGCGTCTGTTCAAGAGTCGCGGTGTTCGAATCCACTGCGGGACGTGAAGACCAGTCCTTCGGATGAGACTGTATAAACCGAGGTCCCGTGACGCAGTAGGTGCTGCCACGAAAAAGATCCCTCACTGCTCAATGGCCCTGAGTGCCGAGTATAGGTCAAAATTTGCAGCCCTCCACCTTCAAGTGGCGGCGTCTCCATATGAGTGAAAAACTCTCGAGAAGGATGTTTAAACAACAAACAAACATAATGTGAGCTCGAACAAAACCATTCACATGTGGGGCAAAATCGTTCACGTGGGGCGAGCCAAACTGTTCACATTGAGTCTGGATATAACTGAGATACAATGTAAATGGATGACCCTAATTAAAGGTGTAACCTATATACAATAAACAAAAGATGCCCTGTTCAAGTATTAATATCCAGGTCATGCTTCTGTGATTAATTATTACAGTTCTATTAATAATACTATTAAATTATAATTAAATAGCAAGAGAAATCTTTTTATAATACATGTTTTCATTACAACCCAAAATTTCTTTTAGAATTTCTACTAAAAACACGCACACCTATCAATGTGGTCTACATATTGCAGTCCTTTTTGAAGGACAGCAACTTGTCATTTCTTATTATCATCCTTTCGAAAACAAAATAGAAAAAAAGCATTCTTGCAGAAAATAAATGTTACCTGAACAAGGTTGTGTGTTGCAGGTTTCTGTATGAACCGAAACTCCCTGACACGTGTGTCCTCCGTTAGATGGTTTGGGATTGTTACATGTTCTGGTTCGTATTCTTACACCTCCTCCACAGGAAACAGTACAGTGAGAAGGACTTTGCCAGCTAGACCAAGCACCATTTACTATAATACAGGAACTGATAATAGAATGCATGGCAACACAGATGATTATGAATTCATAAATTTGAACAATTTTGCCAGAAAATGCATGCCCATAATACACTGTTCAATAACAAGTTCCAGATTTTAAAAATGGCGTCAACGACTTATTATAAAAATATATTACATAGTGGTTTCATTATTTCTCAATTCTAGCGATTGTCTAATGTAAAGGTGCAAATAACTGAATCAGATAAATGTACATGATATAACTGCGCTATTTCACTTTATTCCTGAATTAATTTCTGTAAAATCCAAACTACATGTACATTGTTATATCAACTTCCATAGTACGATAATTTACTGCAGAAGTTTTTATAATTTATTACCGATAATTTGATATACATATGATTTCTCAGTTTAGTGAAGCACAACTTTATTCTATAAATGTGAAATTAACTTACTGGGCATATGCACTCGAGGTTGTTTTCATGAAGTGATAGCCTTATAAAATATTCATATTTATGAAGCATAATCACTTAATTGCATATATTTTACTAGTTTGGTCAAGACCGTAACTAGGCTCAAATTTTAATGAGGCGAGGATTCTGGGGGCCACCCGAGTCCCAAGCGGGTCGAGGGTAGTGCCCTGATGTGGGTTCTCGGGGGTGTCTCAAAACCTGAGTTTTAGTACATTAAAGACTTAATCTTTGATATTTTCATGTTTTGAATTATTTAATGAAATTCCAGTAAAACAAGTACATGTTAGGTGCATTTTAGTGTTTAATAGTCGCCCGCGTGGCGCAATGGTTAGAGCGTCTGCTCTAAAGTCGCGAAGTAAGGAGTTGATCCTTAACGTCGCGGGATCGAATCCCAATTTGGGATGTGGAGACCGGTCCTTCGGATGAGATAGGATTGGGTGAAACACAGACGTGTGACCGACGCTAACAGTAAGGTAAGTGATAATATGCAATCCTCCCTGGAGACTTCATTCCAGGAGACTATTGATGATGGAAAGCGAATCAAGACTAACAGAAAGATTGAATATTCACAAGACTGTAGATCGAAGACGTCCATAGTATCAAAATTAAATATTGTGCAACAATACCTAAGATTCAATATTGTGCAACAATACCTAAGGCTGTTTTGAGTTAATTCTACGTTTAACGTCACCTCTAAAATTCAAAACCTACGAGGGAGGGAGGAAAAAAACAAACAAACAAAACAACTGTGAATTTATTCAAATCAACCTATTCAGTACATAAAAACACTACTGGGCAATAAAAGTATTTGATTTGAGATCTAAGTCTAATTTCCCAAACAAAGAGTTTTTCTTTAGTACGTATATTGGTTTGAATCCTTTTGTGAGCAAGCAGTGTAGACTGAATGTGCAGAAGTGTTGCTTGTAACTAGGCCTTGTAGTATGTCCATTTGATTTATATCACCACATACATGGTACCCTTCTTCTCGTGGAAATAGTTGATCAATATCTACATTTTAAATTATGATGACAATATTTAATATATTCTTTATTGAAATATCTTGAAATTGAACTATGATGTATTTTTTTTCTCATAGTGTTAGCATTGATTTTGAAAGTTTAAATACAATTTTTGTTTTATGTACAATTATAGCTGTTAGATTATTTTAACTCGATTTCCACAAACATGACAGGATTCTTCACTTTTTGGAATTCAAGAATTCACTTCCCCTCTTCCACTTGAAAGGTCCCACCTTCTGTAAACTTCTCCCTGCTCAAATGTCAATGACTAGTATTGTTTTTCCTTAAAACTGTAGCTATTCGTACGTACGTTTATGATTAAATCAACTAACTATTCTTTCAACTTTTACAGGAATATTTTAAGATGAAACAATTAATAAATTTAAATGATGCAACACAAAAGCAAAAGCTTTGAAATTCTCTTCAAATATAGCTAGTGAATAGAACAGCCAAAATAATCACGAACTGAGAGTCTGTAATCTGAAGATTGATAAGGCCTAAACAAAATTGTGTGTTTCGGGTAACACCGATGAAAAAATTGGGGTAGGTAGGTAGAGATTTTTTGTTGGAATTTTTTTTTATGTATGACCACTGAAATATAGAGAATCATGAGTAAATTATTCTGTATTTTTTCTGCATATTTTATCTAAAGCTATATATGGCGTATCTGAGCTAAAAAATAAAAATACGGGATTTGAGTGTAGATGAACTTGAAATTTGTTATTTACGTTGAAATTAAGATTTTCACCGATTTTGAACTTGAACAACCCCACGTTTCTATAGTTAAATTGACTTTAAACTGTGTCTGATATTTAAATGCGGAGTCTGTAAATAAATCGGTTGTTTTGAATTTCTAATATCTATGAAAAGTGATTGATTTAAATTGTGTAACTTACAGTAAAGTCATATCTTCATATAAAGTAATAAAACAAATAGAAAGATCTTTTTAATTTTAGTTAGTCTGAATTTATAAAAAAAAAAAAAATACGCCATATATGACTTTAACTCCAACATGTTTGAAAAACATCAGACAACTAAATTTAACAGTTTCATATCATTTTAATTTTTCATTTTCTCTTCATTTCAGCAAATACGAGTGGTTATGTTTCAATTCATGTTTAACCCTTATGGTTACGACCTGAGTGGTTTCGTTCTGAATCAAAAAGATAACAGTTTAATAATGGATAATTTAAAATTCTTTTATTAAATATCTCTTCTGCAAGGGAAAACTCATTTTTACACAGGTCATATATTCTTGATCGTTAACTGATTAGATGGTTTTATTTTAAATTTACATTTCGGATGCAGTTTGAATTCAGAACAATATTATCTTTATTTATACAATTCATTATTGTAATTTTGAAGCAATTATATTTTTACCAGTGAGGAAGGTTTTTGATCTTCAAAGAAGGCTGTAATTATGTGAATGTTAATTATCTAGTTATTGTTTACACTCAGGGTTTGACATTAACTTTCATAAGTACTAGATCTAGACCAATCGGGCTACTTCCGATAACTTTTACTAAGCCTGACCATAAAATCACTAGCCCTGACCAAATTTGTAAATTTAATTCTCATAATCGAGAATTTTAATGAGGTAACTTCTAAAACAATATTTAAGAAAGACATTGTCTTTTGCGTGTGTCAATATTTTTGACAGACTGTTCGATAGTTTCCAGCCAATTGAGTTCATTGGGAAATTTGAATATTATAAGCCTTAAAGAACATTAATTAATTAAATAAATTTATTATCGTAAATAATATATTTAAAACTGTACTATACGTAACTATTTTGACCATATTGATACTGAACGACAGTAGTTTTGACTGTGACTTGCGAATTACAGCCTTGGCTAAAAATAGGGATTGTGTTATGCGATGATTTTTTTCTCCTTCATACAGTGATGACTTTGGAGAAAGAAGAAAATTTCTTTAAATGTTGTTAGATTATTTATTTGAACATTGAAATGTGACTTTAACAGTTATTTTATCAACATGACCAATCGGTCTAGTTCCCGAACATTTTACACGACCGAACCAATCATTTACTAGACTGCGTCGGTCGGACGTGCCTTAGTGTCAAACCCTGACACTGCAGCTTGTCCCTGCGTTTGTGGGTTCTTTCCAAAACATTCAAACAGGCTTTCTTTTATGAAAAAAGCGATCTAAAATATTCTAATAAACACTTATCAAAATCTAAGACTTTAAGAAAAGAAAGATAGAAAATAATTTTTATTATATGTACTTATTCAATATGTCTGCTATTTGTATGACAGAAACAATCTAATAGGCACAAATATCTATTAGGCCTTTGGCTCTCTATTGACAGATACCGTACACCAGTGTGTTTACCAAACACACTTTGGTTCATATTCACCTGTGAGTGTGCTGGTATACACATGTTGGCTTATACATACGGAGTACGAAACCATGCGGGTCGAACACGTAATCGGAACGTAACCACCCAATACAATTTCAGCCATGTCACAAAAATTTTAAATTACAGAAATATCAATGTCAAAATTATAATATCCAAAAGATTTCCCATTCCATGCTGTCGGGCCCGTTATAAAAACGCTTTTATGTTTGATTTAAATATCGTTAATGTTCACTGTAAGCCTAAGCGTTTTAAGACGTTTCTTAGAAATGAGAAAAAAATATTCTGCTAAAAACGGATTTAACATAGAAATAACAGGAATTTTAATCGGATAAATTCGGACATCGGAAAAAAAATAGGATCGGCGCATTTTTATAGGTTAGGTCGGGTTACCCGAAACACACAATTTTTTTTAGGCCTAAAGAACTAAGCAAAAGAGACTGTCATTAACCTCAATCATGAAATCACCTAACTTTTACTTACATTTATGATCCTATACTGTTAAATTCATCAGTTTGCTTCATACAACTACAAGACACCAACTGCGGCAACAAAGTACATTTTCTTTCACTACAGGATAGAGAATTGAGTCGCTAAATGTAGAACCAAACCGGAACGGATATATAAAATTCGGAATTGTGTTTTTTTTTTCAAAGACGGATTTCTCCTAATTATACGCACGCGGGTGACGTTAAACGTAGAATTAACTTTAAACAGCCTAATGAAATTGTAAAAATAAGATTCAAACTTTAATATTACATGAATCTGAGAGATACAATATCAAACACTAAGAAAAAATTATGAGAACCTGAACGTGAACAACCCAATAAGATTCCATGAAATCCAACAAAATGATATAAAGACTGTGTCTATTAGAGAAGAACGCACATTTCAGAAACTGAAAGATATTATTGATCTTGTGACTGAAAAATTTCGTTCATGCTCTTTAAGGTCAGAGTGATCCTAATTATCTTTAATTTATTAAAGGTCACTACAGAGATCTTAGTTAAATTGAAGATGGCGGAACAAGCGGAAGAGTAAAAGCGACAAAAATCAAGACTGGAGTTTGGAGAGGTTGAGGACTGCAGATATAGAGAGACATAAAGCTGACTTATACTATGAGATATAGACCTTATGAAAAGCAAG